ATATATATATATATATATATATATATATATATATTGAGGCATGCCATGCCAGGAAGATCAAAAATGTTTTTGGTCAAATATCACACCCTTTGTTAACTAAGGCAAACATTTGTCTCTCAAATTTGCCCTGATTTGTGAGATCCTGGAGTTCAAAGCCAGAGCTGAAGCGTATCTATCCTACATAAAATGTTATCTCCTAATAAAAACAGAAGGATAATTACCCTGTATTTGTTTCCTTTGTCCAAATAATCATGACTTCCAACAGGATTTATTATATATGTCATACATACATTCATTATATATACAATTATATTTTTATGATATGGCATCTTGTATATAACGCTTCTTACATTTTTAACATTCTCACTTAAACAGTTATTATTTCCATGCTGTCATAATAGATGACATCCATTTTCTATCAACGTTAAAAAAGTAATAAAATATGATTTAATGAAATATAACACAAATATGTCATTCCCCTGATACTCATTGAGTGAAAACTACTAATCAGCAAAACCTCCTCCAACTTTCAACCAGAAAATGTCATTTTGTACATTTAAAGCTCGCAGTGATTTCAAAGACTGAGCGGAGGTTTTGAAGTCCAGGACCAGCTAGACTACGTGACTGAGTGAAGAGAGGCAAAGGGCATATAACCACAGGCGTCTTCTTCGCTTGTCTCCCTACTCACACATACTTCAATCTTTAATTTCTCCCCCTCCCCCTCTTCCTTCTTTCTGAGGCAGGTTTGAGGCTGGACCGAAAGCTACTGTATATCGAGGGTGACCTTGAAGTCTGAGTGGATCACACACTTAAAAACACTGAATGCGTGTACTCTGCGCGGTGGCACTCCCAAGGCGTGGGACTGGAATGACGAGATCAACCAACAAAGGCTCCAACTTCCTGGTGCTCTCACCGCCTGCTCTCAGGCTTCATTCAGCTCCGCCACATGTGGAGGAGGTCACCTCCCGCAGGCGAGTCTCCAGGACCACCACGTGAACTTCAGGGCTTCAATGCCTGGCACCCCTTGCCGCGGTCCAGCCCATAGCCCAGCAGCTCAGTTGTGCAGGGCCCTGCTTTGCCCCTCACCCACCCAGGCCAGAAATTTCTTCAGCACAGGACGTTTGGCTTTGGGTTTTCTCTGAATCCCCATGCAGAGTTCTTGCAGCTCTATAGGTGCTTTGTAAATATGTGTCACTTCTCAGCTGGCAGTTCCCTAGAAGCTGCTCTTCTTTCCCCTGATAGCCTTTGCATCCTGAAAAGCATGGTTATTGTTGTCGTTGTTTTTGTTCTTGGTTTTTTTGAGACGGGGTTTCTCTGGGTAGCCTTGGCTGTCCTGGACTTGCTTTGTAGACGAGGCTGGCCTCGAACTCACAGAGATCCGCCTGCCTCTACCTCTGCCTCCCCTAGTGTTGTGATTAAAGGGATGCACCACTGACAGGATGACATAAATTCCATTTTGTCTCCAGGACTGACTTAAAAAAAAACAAACAGTTATCAGTCCCACCAATTAGGCCACACGTCACCAATTCCAGGAACAAAAGCATAAAATCCTCTACCCAAGGAACAGTTTGGAAATAACCACAAGAATGGGAAAATATCTTGTCTCAGGATGGGGCATCTGTACTGAGCAGCCTTACCTCATCGTGTAGTTAAATGTTCATGGCACATGAACACAGCCCACTGACCTAATTGCATCCTAATTAGATGCAAGCCAATTAGGAATCAACCCTTGAAGCTTCCCTGGCACCCACCAATGAGGTTTTAGATTACCTAGCTCTTGCTAGAATTCCCCTAGCTACCTATAAAAAGGCCTGCGCACCTTTGTCTAGGGTCGCCATTTTGTAAAATGGTTTGACCCCTGCATGCAGGTCTTCTCAAAATAAAACAGTCTCACCAATTGCTTATGTGAGTGGTGGTCTCCGGGTGGTGATTTCGAACTTAACACCACCAGACCCAGCTTGGGCCTCAGTATTTTCAACCACTGGAGCCGGTTACCAGGCCCACCATACCCTGGTCTGGGGAGAGCATTCTGTCTGGTGTTCTGATATATGAAGACTCCACAGTAGACTGGGTAGCTCAGAAGGCAAGGTTATTATTTTTCTTCAGGCACTGAAACCGTTAGCAAAGACTCTATGCTTCG